CTTGCTTTTCTTGTATTCCTTCCAGAAGGAATTTTATTACTTGATTGTTCAATTGCAATAAAGTGGGTAAAGAGTGGATGATATTGGGGAAAAGTTAGAAAGATGAGCTTCCCAGTGACACACAGGATTTGCTTGTAATATGGCTGAGGTCAGAGTTTGATCTGAAGTAGTGAGCAAGTTTTAACTCCTCTCTTTGTACCTCTTAAACAGGTTCATAATTTTCTCTAGTTCCTCCAGCAATATTAGATTTGAAAAAATGGAGGGCAGTTAATAATAAGTAAAATAAGTTTATCAAATTCTTGGATATTCTCCTTCTATACTTCTCAAATCACTTGAGGAAAGTGTGTTAACTCGGTTCATATTTTATGTGGTGAATTTTTCCTTATTAGTTAGTGTGTATGTTATTTAGGAGCTTCTAAATGTCTCCAGTATTGGAGCTCCACTGTCTGTCCCAGATGTGTATGGAAATGCAGCCATACTACTAAAGAATTTAAAATCCTGAAATGGCATTTATGATCAGAGGCACAGAATTTCCCAATTTTTAGAGACTTCAACAACACCTACTACTGATTATTTAGAAAGATACTCCCTTTCCAAGGCACTGAAAAAATAAATCCTACCATTTCCCTTTATAAATCACTTTTTATAAAAATTTGATCAATGAACAACAAATTGTCCTTTTATGTAGTATTTTGGCATTTTGAAAGCCTCTGCTGTAAATGATTGAAGAGATTAAGTCATAGCATAAGTAAAGATCATGCCATCTATTGGTGGATAGCTTGTGGCTACATTTATAGAAGTTAGCATGGCTACATTGGGGTTTTTTCTCACTTATTTCCCAGGAAGTTGTTTGTCCAGTTTTTAAGAACCAGTGTCAGTATGTTAGCAAACATATTTTTTTCCCCATGATGTCCTGAATGCTTGTCCCAGATACAGTGGAAAATAGAGGAGCATACCTTGTTGTAGTTAGTGATGCATCAAAATTGTTGATCAGCTGTGTTCTGAGACAAGAATTTGTGCATATTGCTTTGGATACTTTGTTTTGTCATCCTGTAAAATACACAGAGAATGTCATCGACTATTAATTTATTCACCACCTCACCATTGGCACGTCCTAAATTTCAGTAAGTTGTTTACCTAGAATGATAATTTGCAGTGTAAATGATCACAAAGCATTTAAATGCCACTAATTGTAATGAGGAGTAAGCAGGCTGGCATAGCAGTGAGCAAGTAAGGCAGTGTGTGTGGGACTGAAGCAGCTTACTGATTTGCAGTGTGACAATATAGTTTAAATCCTTCTTCCTATTTTCAGCCTGGAAATCAGAATCTATTCTGCTAACCTTCTGAGCTTCTAAATTTGGTGTCATGCAAGGGCGTGTTTAAAAATTAGCATTTAAAAAGAAACCCACTTGCTTTAAGTTTAAGCTGACACTGTTCCTTTCCTCTGTGGAAATGAAATTTATTAATCATAATAAAACCATCATATTCTGAAGGTAGAGGTCACCCTGAGGAGAAAAAAAAAAAAGTCTATTCATCACAGAGGAATTTCAATGCATCTTTTTCCCAAGTAATATCTGAGCATGTGTTCTTTCCCCTTTGGAAATATTTTCATCCATGTTTGTGCTTACATATGTCAAGTGTATTCAGGAGCGTGCAGAAATGAAAATTGTGCAGTTTAATTTTATATATTTTCTTTTACAGAAGATTTGGAAGGATTCCTTTTACATTTTATTTTGTTTTTACATTGGACACATTTTTTTAAGTGGAATTTCAATATCCTGTAAAAGAAAAACAAGTGTTTGTTGTTTTAACAAGAATATAAGCATCACTAATTCTGCAATAACATTCTATGTTAATATTACAGTAAAAGCTTTAGCATTATTATAATATAAATATAAACCGTTCTTTTTAAGGAGCAAGGATTAACTTTGGTCACAGTTCTTACATTAGGATTTCTTCACAACTCTTATTTTAAGAAAAGAGACATGGTTTATATAGAAGGATGGAAAAAGCAATGTAAAACACTGACAATAAGTCATTGCTGCTTTGGAAAAAGGGTAATAAAAATGTACTCAGAAGTCAATACTGGGTTGAAACAGTCATATTTTCATCCTTTGAAATTGCTTAATGTGCATGTTTATCCATATTTTCCCATCAGTGGTCAAGATTTCTGTTGAATATTGATATAATAGTATTATTAGCAACATGGTATATTGCATCAATGTTGTAAGTTGCCAGTTACTTCAGGAGCTGGCTTAAATGCAGTAATAATTTAATACAGGCTGAGCCCTGGGTATTCAGGCTTGGTCCTTCCTTACAAGAGGCCCTTGCATTTTGGCCCCTTGATGCCATCCTAGGTGGCCTGCTGGATTTTGTTTGAGAGGCAATGGGACACAGCCCAGGGTCCTGCAGGAATGGGAGGCAGGATGGAGGCAAAATGCAGCCCTACCACTTGACCAAAATTAATGTATTTTTTACAGATATAAATTTACAGCCCTTGCTCAGCATTGCAGCAATGCCAGATAATCAGAAAAAAAGAAAAACAAAGGAAATATACTAATTCCCATTGACATAAAAGTAATAATGATGGCATTAAAGCATGTAAGATAATAGTACATGCAAATCCTATTGCATGTCACTAAGGCCATGAAGGAAGCATGTCTACCTTTAAATTAATTGTTTTCCCTTCCTAGATGCTTTCTTACTGTTAGAATGAAATTTGGCTGGGAAAAAATTAAAATTACAGTGATATTCAAAATTCTCAGACTTTAAAAATTGACATAGAGCAGTAGTGTCTTCTCCTCTTCAGTGCAGATGAAAGAGACACAAGGGATTCTGTTATTGAGTATTTCAAATCCCCAAATTATGTTTGCATCCTAATGTGGAGGGTTCCAAGGCTGAGGGTTATGGAAGTTCCTCCTACCAGAGAGGCTGCAGAGTGTGAGATCAGTGTCAAACCTGCTCAAAGAAGTCTCAAACTGCTTTTCCAGCTCAGAGAGTCACGAAGTCCTTTATCCAACATGTGAGCTGCTTTCCTTCCCTTCCTTTTCCAGTGGGAATTGGCCATTTCCTTTGTTGGGTAATTTCTAAAGACAGGTGTTCTTAGATACCAAGTATTTAAATAGAATTGATATATAAATTGGATCCCTTACTCATCAATGCTTTGGAAGTAAAAGAGGAACTAATGTATTTAATACAAGCCTTTTACGCATATTTTCCTGAGTTTCCGACCAGGTCTTAAGGAAAGCAATTGCCTAACACACTGCTACCCCTGGAATTTCATGTATCCCTCTGATAGCAATGAAGACTTTTCTACCCAAATCTAAAGCAAACACTGCTGTGGCGTGAGATACAGAGCCCACACTCATGAACTTGGGGTGCTTAAATAAATTCACTCATTTTTAATGTATTATCCCTTCATAGGAATTCAGATTTACTAAGCAAACAGGGCAGTACAACTGAAGGCATTCAGCTGTGATGGTTGCACTTTGAAGTGAAACATCCAGGCTTTAGAATGCTTTATAAGAACTTAGATACTCTTACACTTGCTGAAAATGCTGTACTCCTGCTGGAAAAAAAAAAAAAAAAGTCTAATTCAAAATGCTGAATATGAGCACATTTACACTTAGAAGTTTGTTCTTACTGAACTGTTTTCTACTTTTTGGTTTTTTCCATCAAGATGTGTGGTTATGTATTCTTGGAGAAGGAAGGCATTTGATTTCTCTGAGTGTGTGGCCCTATGTTTGTGCAGAGAGTCAGAGACAGGGATGTTCAGGCTGTCTTTTCCATACTGAGCACTTTAGTGGGCATAGTTGTCACAGGAGGTGATTTGTGGATTTGCATATGAAAGGAATGCCTCATAATCTGGGAAATGTTGGCTCAGTGAGATGGAGAATTAAGGATTTATTGTCTATGGCAATTTCTGCTCCCTGCTTGAAGATGGCTCTGGGTAGGTGGGAATGTGTAGTGCAGATAATTTGGTCCTTTTCTCTGCCTCACATCCAGGACCCACAGTAGTGGGTGGTGGAGGATTGCATATGCCATGGAAACATTCCTTTCTCAGCTTTCTCTCGGCTGGTTAGCTCAGAATCCACTAATAAGATTCTGCTTTTGGAGGAGCAAATACATGGTAATAAAATAGAACAATTGTCCTCTTTTCAAAAAAAGTAAGTTTATACATGTATTTGAAAAATAAGGTAGTTACAGAGAATGAGACCAGTCTGTGGTTGCTGTTCACATAAGGCTAAAAACCAATTTTTTTTTTTATTTTAATAGCTATCAAGGGCATTGTTAAACCTTGTTTGCTGCATTAGCCCTCGTATTCAAGACAGCCCTGTAATTACAAGATCGCTTTTGTTGGTCTATGTGACACCTGAGAGCAAATGAAAATTGTTTGATTATGGGAAATGTGTGAGACACTTGCAGTGGAAGCTGTCCCTGGCTGGCAGGTCCATCTCACTGGTGGTGCTCCCTGTGTTCCCCCAGGCTGGGCAGCAAAGCTCTGTGTGCCAAGGTGAGGCAGAGCACCAGGGACTCAGGGAAAGCAGCTCTGAAGTAGTTTCAGCCATGAGGATTTTGTGTGGGGAGAAATGACAAAAATCTGATTTTCCATCACTGGCTTTGCCTGGTTTTAGCAGGAAGCTGGGCCTGCAAGCTGAGGCTTCAGCTGTGCTGTGTTTTAGGGAGGCTCTGTGTGCAGTGCAGGAGGAGCAGGAGTGTGCAGATTTCCACCACGTGCCTGCATTGCCCCACAGCCCTTCTCCTCAGCCTGCTGCTGATTCCTAATAACCTCATAAAGCTAATTATACATTTACTGTCATTTGCAACCTTAACATTTCCCAAAGGACATTGCTTTTGAGTCTGGAAAGTGAGTTTATTTGTAAGGAATTTGGCTAGAACGGAAAATTTCATTGCAGCCATTTTGTTAATATCGATAATATCTGGTTTTAGCTTTTTTTCTTTTTTTTTTTCCATTAATCTTAAAATTATTTTCTTTTCAG